CCTAACGCTCAATGATCCAACCTCATCCTTTCAGAGACCTCTTCTCTGAGTCTGGCAGGAAGCCGCTCCTAGACATATACAAACCCTCCTGATCCCCTGCTTATTATCACCAGCATCCATATCTAGCCATGCTTGTATAGTCTGCAGGACTTTCATTGCGACAAAGTCCTGCTCTTCATTCAATGACTCCTTCAAACTCCTTCTGCTTCATGAGTTATAGACTATTTTAGTTCAACCCTTCTCCCAAAATTTTTTTTCACATTTCAGTTTCTTCATTTTTGTATAGCTGAATTTAAAATGCTTTGTAACAAACTTCTAGTAAATAAGGACAAATAGAAAAACAATTCTGCACTTTCCATGGGTTATAAACTTTTTTTTTCCAGATGGAAAAACTAATTTTGGTTATGATAGAATTGATTGAAACCTAGCATAGTCCTAACATGCTGATTATTACTAAATCACAGTGGTTAACCCATGTCACAGCACCTGACCCCATGCTGTTTGGATATCCTTGGGCCAAAAGGTGCCAAATTTTGAATCACCTGTCTTTTCTGTATCCTGCACTGGCCCACCCACTGTAGTTGATGATATTCAAACTCCATCCTTTTCAGTTTGGGGTGAAATGGGGAAAACCTTTGATATCTTCGGCACGGTTGCCAGAAGACCTTATCCCAGCATTGCATTGAAGTAATCCTTTTTGCTTTGGCCTGCATAGGCAAAGTACATGTTTGCTTTATGGATGCTAATGTGTGACCTATTCCATCTCCTCCTGTGATAAGCTCATACACATCCTATTGCTGTGAAATGTCATCAGGATGAGACATAGACTCTGCTAGAGGTAACTGCTCACATGCCACTGCTGGAGATCGCAGTCCTGGAACACTGTCTTTTATGAAACCATGGACTAAGAGGAGAATTTCTCGGTGTTACATAAATTGTATTTAAAAAAACACATGCTGATTGCTTAGTATGGGGGGCACTATTTTTTTCAAAAGCCTGCCATAGTTCAGTTTTAACCAAAATTCCAGTCTTTTGGGTGCATTATCTCTGCTTGAAAGAAGAAAAGGCCAGTCTGACCTCCAATCCTTCCCTAGGCTGCAGGTGACCAAATACTTGATTATGTGAGCTGCACTGGAGGAATCCTGAATTAGCATGTTCTTCAGGGAAGGTAAGTATTGTAGCCCTTTTGCTGTCTTTAATTCATCAGTCCCAACAAGTCTGTTTACAGACTGTAGGTTATGTTAATAGTTTCAATTTGCTTTAACATACACTATATTGCCAAAAGTATTGGGACTCCTACCTTTATACGCACATGAACTTTAATGGCATCCCAGTCTTAGTCCATATGGTTCAATATTGAGTTAGCCCACCCTTTGACGCTATAACATCTTCAACTCTTCTGGAAAGGCTGTCCACAAGGTTTAGGAGTGTGTCTATGGGATGTTGGAACAGGAAGGGGCCAAGCCCAACCCCTGAGAAACAACCCCACAAAATCACCCCTCCACCAAACTTAACACTGGGCCCAATGCAGTCAGGCAAGTATCGTTTTACTGGCAACCGCCAAACCCAAACACGTCCATCAGATTGAGAAGCGTGATTCCTCACTCCAGAGAATATGTCTCCACTGCTCTAGAGTCCAGTGGCGGTGTGCTTTACACCACTGCATCCGACGCCTTACATTGTACTTGGTGATGTAAGGCTTGGATGCAGGTGCTCGGCCATGGAAACCCATTCCATGAAGCTCTCTACACACTGTAGTTGTGCTAATGTGAAGGCCACATGATGTCTGGAGGTCTTTAGCTATGACTTTGCAGACAGTTGGCGATTTCTGGGCACTGTGTGCTTCAGCATGCGCTGACCCTGCTCTGTCATTTTACGTGGCCTACCACTTTGTGGCTGAGTTGCTGTTGTTCCCAGTTGCTTCCACTTTGTTATAATACCACTAGCAGCTGACTGTGGAATATTTAGTAGCAAGGAAATTTCACAGATGGACTTTTTGCACAGATGGCAAGCTATCACAGTACTGCACTTGAATTCACTGAGCTCCTGAGAGCAACCCATCCTTTCACAAATGTTTGTAGAAGCAGTCAGCATGCCTAGGTGCTTAATTTTATACACATGTGGCCATGAAGGTGATTGGAACACCTGAATCCAATGATTTGGAAGGATGCTCCAATACTTTTGGCAATATAGTGTATGTTATATACCATAAGGTATGCAAATATCAAACACAGGTTCTACAATTGAATAATGCTCCACACACTCCTTTCCCTGCACTTTTTCATTAGCCAGTTGGGAAGGCCAACACCCTTGGTGGCCAGTAGTAAGCCATAATTTAGATGTGGGCTAGAGTTCAGCAACTAAAGCTGTGATATTTGCATAACCTGGGTTAATTTTACAAGGTAACATGAGCTCAATGGTTCCCTTTAATAACAGGATAATTAAAGGGAACCCTGTATCTGTCCAACTTCCACTATGAACCAATACATAGTGAAAGTTGGACAGATACAGTAGCTAAAAGAATACTTTTTTTTAATTTTCCTGAATGATTTAGTTTGCACTTAGATGGGTCATTTTCTCACCTACAAGCTATATGAATTCTCCCCCGATAGACAGCAATACTTTTATGATGTAATTGGTGTCCTGGCACCAGAGTAACACTTACTTCTATTGTGGTAATCACTTTGTAAAAGTTATATTTCAGCTGCAGCAGGAGCACAGAGACCTCTGTGTCCTTTTGCCATGAAAGTCTTTAATCACATTTGAAGTTATCCACACTTCATACACATCGTACAGTTTCTCTCATTTTGTAATCATGTCAGGTCTTGTGGCTGTGCTCTCTTTTCTCTTAATCATAAAGTTTTTCTGAAGCCAAAACATTTTTTTTTTCTTTTTTTTTTAGTTTTGGAAAGAGTGGGACTTGTGAGTGATTGAGATACTTTTTTGCTTTCTCTGTCTCCACTGAGGAGATTCACCCTCTCTAATCATCAATGTCAGACTACAAGTGAGGGAAAATCCCAAATTTTATGTTCTCACTGGAAAAAGAAGGGATATCTTTAAGGGGAGGCTTGTTGTAGTGACACTTGCCTAGGAGAGGAGTTTCCTTACTTGAAGAGATATCAACTTACTCTCTGTTCTGGCCACATGTTAGTTAGATTCAGCGTGGTGTGGCAGGCAGTAAGCCCACAGAGTCCCAATTTGTCAATAACACTGTATTGTGGAAAAGTTCAGTAAGTACATCCAGGCCTGGTAGGAAGGCTCACCCATCCGGAGCCACTTACAGCTTACACAGTGGTGAGACAGCGAACTGAAGACCCTGTAGATGTCAACATCTGCCACATGGAGCGGAATGGGAAGGCTTCCTGTAGAGGTAAATGTAGTCCCTGCACTTTTTCCCTATCTCTAAGCACTTTCTCTGACAGACTGTGAACCTATCCCTACTCTAGTCACGCACAAAGAGCATGCCAAACCCAGGAGTCGGAGTCTGCTTGACCCAAACTGACCACCAGAGTAATTTGGGGCATCAGCATCCAATCAGATAAAGGCCCCCGTTCAACTGAGAAAATCATAGAGAAACCAAGTTCCTCAAATTTTATAGCAATGGCAGTACACAGCTCATTCCCATACAAAGCCACCCCAACATGTTTCACCCACAGCAGGGTTTAAAGCTGAATTCCAGTAAATTAGCCACTTTGTAAAAAATGTAAGGTACACTATGAGTTAAGACTGACTAGGTGCATGACAACTTCTGGACTTATCTCTATTATTTACTGTACATTTGACAGCTTTATTGCAGTGCCGGAGACATTCAGGGATCTGATAGGAGAGAAGCACACAGAGCAGCTGTTCCTGCCCCTCCCCTTTGCTGCTGCCCATTCACAAAAGCCTTTGTATTTTGTGAATGTGATCAAATAATACCAACGCTTCTGTGACTGGGCTGGAGGAGGAGAGGGGAAGGGCGGGTATAGCAGCTGCCTTGACTCATCTGTTGAAAATGCAGAAGTCAGAAAGGTCTGCCTCTGGCTCTGGGAAATACAGCTATAGCTGTCTGCCAGGAGTACTATAAACATGATAGATATAAATAATAGAGACAGGTCCAAGAGATGCCATGCACCTCCTTGGACTTAACTGCCTTCACTTTTTACAAAGGAGCTGAATTCCTGAAGTTCATCTTTAATCATGGGGATCATTGCAGTGGAAAAAGAGAAGACTCCAGAGCCTGATTGCAGGGAATCGAAGGGGGATACAGGCTGGCCTATGAGTAGTGAAAGGAGCTTGGTTTTCCTGCCAATCACAGCAGTCACATGATCAGGAGCTCAACTTCCCATTTTTAGAACCCCTTAAAGGGCTGACAGGAGCCGACATCTAGCAATTAATCACCCCAGTGAGACACAGATGACAAAAGAAAAAACATAACAGGGGTCATATTTATTCCATACTTAGCCAAAGCTATAATGTTTAAATGTTGGTTAGCACTTACGCCTGGCAGTACTAGGGTCGTTGGTTCAAATCCCAGCCAGGGCACCACCTGCCTGGAGTTTGCATGTTCTCCCTGTGCCTGCGTGGGTTTCCTCCGGGTACTCCGGTTTCCTCCCACATTCCAAAGACATGCTGGTAGGTGAATTGGATCCTGTCTAAATTGGCCCTAGTATGCGTATGTATGAATGTAAGCTAGGGACCTTAGATTGTACATCCCTTGAGGGTTAGAGACTGATGTGAATGAACAATATATATGTAAAGCGCTGCGTAAATTGCTGGCGCTATATAAGTACCCGAAATAATTAAATAATGTCAGAATGACTTGAATTTAGATATACTTTAAAGTGGAATTTCACTCTCTCAATCAACATACTTTTTTAATCCTTATGCTGCTAGCATTAGTAAATAGATAGGAAAGTACGCTATATTGCCAAATGTATTGGGGCACCCCTCCAAATCATTGGATTCAGGTGTTCCAATCACCTCCATGGCCACAGGTGTATAAAATCAAGCATCTAGGCATGCAGATGACTTCTACAAACATTTGGGAAAGAATGGGTCTCTCTCAGGAGCTCAGTGAATTCAAGCGTGGTACCGTGATAGGTTGCCACCTGTACAATAAGTCCATCCGTGACATTTCCTTGCTACTAAATATTCCACGGTCAACTGTTAGTGGATTATAATACAGTGGAAGCAACTGGGAACAACAGCAACTCAGCCACGAAGTGGTAGGCCACATAAAATGACAGAGCAGGGTCAGTGCATGCTGAAGCGCACAGTGTGGAGAAGTCGCCAACTGTCTGCAGAGTCAACAGTAAAGACCTCCAAACTTCGTGTGGCCTTCAGATTATCACAATAACAGTGAGTAGAGAGCTTCATGGAATGGGTTTCCATGGCCGAGCAGCTGCATCCAAATCTTACAACACCAAGTGCAATGCAAAGCATTGGATGCAGTGGCGTAAAGCATACCGCCAATGGACTCTAGAGCAGGGGAGACGTATTCTCTGGAGTGACAAATCACACTTCTCTGTCTGGAAATCCGATGGACATGTCTGAGTTTGGCGGTTGCCAGAAGAATAGTATTTGCCTGACTGCATTGTGCCAAGTGTAAAGTTGGAGGGGGATTATGGTGTGGGGTTGTTTTTCAGGAATCGGGCTTGGCCCCCTAGTTCCAGTGGAGGGAACTCTTAAGGCATCATACATTTTGTACAATTTCATACAGTTTGGGGATGGCCACTTCTTGTTCCGACACGACTGCGCACCAGTGCACAAAGCAAGGTGCATAAAGACATGGATGAGCCAGTTTGGGGAGGAGGAAATTGACTGGCCTGCACAGAGTCCTGACCTCAACCTGATAGAACACCTTTGGGATGAATTAGAGTGAAGACTGCAAGCCAGGCCTTCTCATCCGACATCAGTGCCTGACCTCACAAATGCACTTCTGGAAGAATGGTCAAACATTCCCATAGATCCACTAAACCTTGTGGACAGCCTTCCCAGAAGAGTTGAAGCTGTTATAGCTAGAAAGAGAGGGCCAACTCAATATTGAACCCTGCGGACTAAGACTGGGATGCCATTAAAGTTCATCTGCATATAAAGGCAGGCATCCCAATACTTTTGGCAATATAGTGTATATTGTATTTACTTGCTTCTTAGGCAAAATATATCATACATCCCAGGAGTTTTCAGAAAGGGAGAGGGGTTTTCTCAGCTAAGCACACACTCCAGCCTGCATGCCTAATCTAAGGGAAGATGGTTTCCAGGAAGTAAATGCTACATGAATCGTCTGCCCTTACCTAAGATGGTCACTGCCAGAAATGCTAGGGGGGGGGGGGGGTTCAAAGTGATTTCTCAGCAAAATAAAGTATGGAGACGTGGATGGGTGAAAGGTGTGCTTTGAATATTAAAAATGAATTAAATATCGGTTTTGATTTGTGGTGCTCAGATGCAGTTCCACTTTTTTGCTTTAAACTGTTATAAAGTAACCCAAGATGTGACAGTTAGTTTCTAGCATTTTAGAAGACAAGGTCAAATATGACAGCCTACATGTTTCTTTCCTGATCAGATTTTGGCTGGATTTAGACTAGGGATGTGCCAATCCTGTTTTTTTTTATCGATGAGTATCCTATCAATACTTTCAATCAAGTACTCGCCAATAATGCAAATTGCACCGCAAAGATTAGCATGCGATTTGAACAGGAATGCAATTCCTGTCCAAATCGCATGTGGTTTCCCCACTGCTCCTGTGTGAACTCAGGCTTGTCATAGTCTGAGCTCACACAAGAATGGTGCAGGAAACCTCCCTGCAGGCATCCCATGCTAAGTCTCAGTGGTAGGAGAGGAGAGAAAGTGTTGGGGATCTGAAATCCCCAACTTCTTTGCTCTCCTTGCAGCAATGACAGTTCAGGCTAGAGGACTTTTGATTGGTCAACACTGTCACATGGATGGTTGTAACCAATCATATGCTAATTAAAAGCATTGACACTGTACTAATGACACTGGGCAGGAAGGGGTTAAGATCTGGGGCGATCAAAGGGTTAACTGTGTGTTGTGCTGTGTTTTACATAATGTGCTGTGTGTGTTTTACTAGGGAAACATGCTGCTGTGTATTTCTCTGTACAGAGAAATACACAGCAGCATGTTATTGCTGACAGGAGAGAGACCTGTGTTGTTTATACACAGGTCTCTACCCTGTCACTATTTCTCGGTTATTACCGGCTGCTGGCAGGGAGTCTCCGGCCGGGACCCGGTGATCAACATTTGTAGCCGCCAATGGCGGTGCAGGTAGGGCAGTGCATGTGCCCCCTTAGCTGGAAATGCAAAATCACGTATATATCATGTATATATCACGTATATATCATATATCAAAATAACGTAATTTTACGCAGCCCTGCCACCCTGTAGCAGTATTTTGGCGGGTTAAAGTTGCAAGACTTCAGGATTCCTTAGCTTACTTGAAAAGTCTTTCTATTACCCTTCAGCATGCAGAAAAATGCAGGTTTTCTTGCATGTAAAGGGAGAAGCATGCATAGACTGTTAAGCTAACATTTGAGTGTAGGTGAACTTCAAAGCTGCTCTCTGGGACAATACTGTACCCCCCTTGGAGTCTATTCCATTCTTACACCACAATGGAATCAACAAAATAGGTCCCGGCTGGTCATTGGGTATAGCATGGATTAGATATGTCATCAAAACACTGATAAGTTTCCTATTGCAAAATGCTTCTTTATTGCATGATCACATAGAACAGACAGCTACATTAAAAAAAAACACTAACACCATTTGATTATGTAAATCTAGAATCAGGGGTTCCTTGCCAATGCCTCCTTTTTGTGTTTAGACCAGTGATCCAATGCTGCAGTCTTGGGGTGACACCATTCTGCCTCTGCAGTCTTCAGAAAGGAGACCTGGTCAATGGACAGCCAATGGGAAACGTCCATGTTACTCAGGTAGTGAAGTAGGTACCTGAAGAAGGATTCTCCCCCTTTGTAGGCCAAAAAACAGAAGACATGGGATTGAGCCATCTCTTAGCAGATTTTTTACATTTTTAACCCAATGATTAATTAAGGGGGGGGGGGGGGGATGGGGGGGGAGGGGGAATGGAGAGCGTCCACATTCCCAGAGATCAACTTTTCAAAATGTTCTAGGTATTCTCTACAATTCAATTTTACTTTTCAAGTTACACATGATGTTTTTTTAAATTCTGACATTTCTTTTCTTCATCTTGTGAGAAGCTTTAGCTAAATTAATTGGAGAACAAATTAGCCGCGTTGGGAACAAAAGCCCAGTGTCACCCTTAATGTCTGTTCCTGTCGGCAATGGAAGGTGGTGTTTCCTTTTCTTTTCACCGTGAGCCATTTAAAGCAATAATCACATCCAGCGAATAAACAGAGACGAAGCATTTCTTATTTTTAGCTTCCATTGGCCTGTGTCTCTTTTTTTTTCTTCAGCATTGAAGCCGTCTCACAGAACTTCTTTTATCAAATGAGGAGATTGAATTGAATGTGTATTCTTCCCTCTCGCTGATTTCAAAGCGGATCCCTTCTCTTTATGGAATTATTGTGACAGGCGGCAACTTACCATCGCTGTGGCTTTAATTAACAGAACAAAACCGCTGATTGAATTTACAAAGCTGAATAGATTTCCTCTGTAATTCTCTTGTTAAAGAATTATTTCAAGGACTGTCTTTTAGCTTGGCGTTAGGCAGTCAGGAGTTCAGCCTGCTGCTAGACAGAGGCTGATTATATAATGGGTGTTAGATTGTCCGATTTATAAAATATATATGTAGTTAAATGTGCGCTCTAGTAAAAACAAGAAGGTAAATCCAAACAAAGTGACAGTTAGCTAAGGATTGGGCTGTTTAGAATCTTCCATGGGGAAAGGGAAAGGGGTAGCTTTGGCCAAGTCTAATGTGAATACCCTTTGAACAATTCATTGATACATACCCATGCAAAAGGTTTCCATCCTATCGGTTTCTCAATAAAAAGAGAAAGTAAAAATTGACTATACTCTAATCCAGGCATCACTAATTGGCGGACCGCGGTCCGTATGCGGACCTAGCCACTGTTTCATCTGGACCCAGTCACGCCATTTAGGAGCCGCTTCTTTCCCCCCATCCTCTGCCACTGTTATAACAGCAGAGCGGATAGCAGGAGACTGAACATTTCTGGAGCAAGTGTGGAATAACAGCACAGTATTGAACAGATCGCTGGAGCGGGAGCTGTCATAACATTTCAGGATCAGATGTAGGAAGCACAGCATTGTTAGAGCGTGGGAGCTGCCGGGGTTAAATTTTTAAGTTAACCAGCTGCTGATTGGAAGACGGGCAGTCCTAGCAGCCAATCACCTGCTGGGTAATACACTCGATTCAGAAATGCTCTGCCTCCCGCTGTTCGCTCTAAGGTAGGAGAGTGAAGGGGGTCCAGGGACACTACTCTGGCTGTGTGTGTAATGTAAAGGAGGGGGGAGCAAAATGTGAAGAGGGTCAGTGCTGTGTGCATGTGGTGGTGGTGGGGGGGGGCAGTGTTGTGGGGGGATGTGAAAGGGGCACAGTTTTGCTGGGGGTTATGTGAAGCGGCAGAGGACAGTACAGTGGGCGAGAGATGTGAAGGGGAGAGGACAGTAGTGTGGGGTGGGGATTTGAAGGTGTCTGAGGACTGCTGAAAATAATGGGGGGTGTACTGTAAAGGGGTAGGTGGGGGGTGATGTGCAGGGAGCCTGAGAACATTACTGTGAAAGTGAAACTGATGTGAAGTGGGGGGCTGTGACATGTGGGGGGGAGAACTGAGGACACTGAAGTATAGGAATTGTGATATACAGTAAGAGAGGGCAGAAAAAAAAATGCGGCTTGGACCTCTATTGGAAGAAAATTTTACTGATTGAACCTCCATGAGTTTTTTATTCAGTACCCCTGCTCTAATCTATCTAAAATAAGGAAAATGTTTTGGTTGGAGTTACCCTTTAAGTGATGGGGCATTGTTTACTGTTTAAGGGGGGCCGCATTGTGGCCAGTGGGAAAAAAAAATGCCCCAGGGGGAGTGTACCATGTCTCAAGCTTGGTGGTCAGTGGGGAGAAAAAGATTGCATAGTTAGTGGTCAGTATGAGGAAGAATAATGCCCCATTATTGGTATTAGTGGGAGGAATAGTGCCCTGTCCTTGATGTAAGTGGAAGGTACTGTGCCCTATCATTGATACCAGTGGAAGGAATAGAGACCTGTCATTGGTGTCAGTTGAAGGATTAGTACCCCATTGTTGGTTTCAGTGGAATAAATAGTACCCCATTCTTGGTGTCAGTGTAAAAAATAATCTCAATGTTGCTTTCAGTGGGAGAAATAAGCCCTATTGTTGGTATCAGTGGAAGGAACAGTGCCCCCTCATTGGTGTCACTGGGAAGAATAGTGCCCTCTCATTGGTGTCACAATGTCAGGGCAGGGCTGTGGAACGGACAGGTAGGCCTAGTGGCAGGGTAACGCACTGGCTGACGA